TTTTGCCGCTCGGGACGCCTCTTGGAAGCCTCGAGGGGGGTGCTGGGGGCATCGTGGGCCATCGTGAGGCCATCTTGGGCCGCCTTGGGACGCTGCTGGCTTCTGGCCGTAGAGCCTGCCACCTATTTGTCGACTCATTGGGCTGCTCCTGCACGGCTCCAGAGCCTCCAGGCCCGCGCCAAAGAGGTCCGGCATCTCTGGCCTGGACTTGCTGGGAGTTGCCGGGGGTACTTTTCGCTCTGGGACCCCCAGGGGCCGCCACGCGCGCGCGAACTAGAATACTGTTAGCATGTTACCGGAGAGTTTAGCACGCCTCTGGCCAGTTGGGCCGGCGAGCATGAGCAGCGATCTTTGCCGAAGGCTATGGCCCAGTCAGGCAAAACCCTGCCCAGTCACCGTATTTCTTCAGGGGGACAAGCATTGGCATAAACATCCAAACTCAGAGGTCCGCGCGGATTTCTCGGATCGGCGACATGCACCGCCAAACCCACGAAATTCGCAAAGAGAGTTTGGTCTGCTGTCTCGCGCGGCTTGCATCCCAAGCGTGCGACAGTCCGTGCGGAATGCCCGTTACACTTGTCGGACCTGGCCCAGGGACACCGAGCCCGCCCCCGTCGAAGTGCCGCCTCCCTGTCTGACTCGGAGGAGGAAGAGAGGAGGCGCGAGCTCGAGAGATCGCTGGGCAGAACGGCTTCCCGTCTCATTGCGGATTCTGGCTCCTCGGACTGACGTCCTGCGAGCGCCCTCGGGGCAGGCACTTTTTACTCAGCCCACCCGTTGGGCGAGGCTTGCCACTGTCCTGGCGCTCTCTGCACCAGGGGTAGGCGAGCCTCGTCTCCCTTGTGCGGTCCTTCGTTCCTTATTCAGTGTTCGTCTTTTCCGAGCCATCGCTCTCGAGTCTCAGTCTTTGGTGTTATGCCCGTGGCAGTTAAGTTCAAGCTGGGGGACGGGAAACGGCCATCCCCTGCGTCCTGTGCGTGTAGCATTGCAGATTACGCGTGGAAGGCGTGTTTATCTTTTGTTGTTCTGTTGTTCCTCTGCCAGTGGCGCACGGCCCGATGCGACTGACCCTCGAGGCAGGCATCCGTGTGCGTACCCCACATCTGGGGCGAGGCCCTGCCGCCGTCCTGGCGCTCTTTGCACCAGGGGTAGGCAGGTCTCGCCGTCCTTGTGTGGGTGGTCGAT